ACCTTTCCACTGCTATACTACTACTCCCTGATATGAAGTAGCAAAGCAATTTTTCAAGTATTTAGGAATTATTCAAAACAAGGTCTTTAGATTGAAATTATTGGTGTATCAACTGTATTAAATTTGTTTTAATTTTAATTAGTGAATAATTTAACAAGAATCACATTCAAAATCAGTTAGCAATTTTTCAAGTTATTTTTAATAGTATTTGGCTAGTCTTGTGTACAGTATCACATCATGCAGTTTGGTGCTATGTACCTATTGACTGAGAGGTATGGCCAGCAGTCAAGTATTTGGCCCTTGGTCATGATATAAGTCTAAAGTACAGCAAGGTCTGTATGTCATGATAGAGAGCTAAGTATTTCTCCCCTCTGCCTACTTGGTCTGCTTGAGATACTGTTTGTTATTTATTTCACGTTTCCTTTCAGACATTATGAAACAGTTACTTGACAATAAAAGGCTACAACTTCCACAGCCAGGTAAATGTCACCTTTGCAAAATTTAGAGCACAGTTATCCCTCAGTATAATAAATTGTAAAACCTTGAAATTGAAAGAGCATTGATTTGGATTGTGTATGAATATGTGAATATAATTTTGTTGTCAACAAGTTAATCATTGATAGAATTACCTAGGTTATCAGATAATTTTTAAGCTGGCAACTTTTTTAAGTTGGTGTAAATTGTTTATCCCATCTTTTACCAAAAGTCCTGCCAAAAGCACAAAATACAATATTGTACATAGATGGTGAATTATAGTACTACCAGCCACTTTTGATAAGCCTGAGTTACAGCCCTAAGCCACATATGTTCAAAGTTGGTTTAAGATAACCTAGGGTCACTCTGAAATTTCATTTCAGATCCGAAAGCATTAGATCAAAATTCAGTTTAATTACTTTTGTCTACAATTTGATGATTGGATGCTCTCAAAAGAAAAGAAGAAAGTATCCCAAAAGTACTTTTGAATAGATAAATGAAGAAACCCTAGCATAACACTAATCTACCTTCAAACAACTGGACCCTGGGCTGCATTGGAAAAATTATGAAACAGACTTAAGAGATCAACTTAATGTCTTCCTTAGAATTAGGAAGTCACTTTTGAGACAACTGCTTCTAGTATGGCATTACACTTTAGGAGCCTAGGATAGAATGCACCCTGCCCCCTCTAACCTGATACCCCTACAGTCAAGCCAGAAGATCAGAGGCCTTTGCAGAGTAGGACCTTTGGTGTTCCCAAACTTTTTAAGGGGTTAGACGTTTTGTTGTCAACTGTTTTGGTGCTAGATTTGGTAAGGTTTGGCTCTGAAATTTCTCAACAGTTTACAAGCATATCATGTCTTAAGGGGTTGGTGGGGTGGCTGGAAGGTTTGAGAGCAAAATTATTTTGCAGGATGGAGAGGAGTAGGTTAACTAACCAGTATATCATCTCGAATTTAACACTTTCTTTTATTAGCAGTTTCAGAAATTGTCCCTGACTCCCTCATTGCAGACCTCTCTCAAAAAATTCCTAAGGAATGGAAGCTGTGGCAAGTTATTTGGATTTGAACACTGATCATGTTGCCACTCTTGATCAAGAAAATATCATAATTGCTGAAAAGGTTAGTGCCATGTTCAATGCATGGAAACATGCACAGGGAACAAATGCAACTCGCAGTAAACTAGTGACTACTTTGGTTGGTGTTAAAAGAAAAGACTTGGCTGAAAAAGTTCTCACCTACCAGAAGGAATGATTCTTTTTCTTAGTGTGGCAGAGAAGGTAATGGTTTCAAACAGGGATGAGATGGAAAGGAGATCGATTGCAAAATTTCAAGCTACTGTTTTTTAAAAGATAAACTGGATGGCATTTTTGCTTGAGGGGTGCTAAAATTAACTTGATTCTTGGAGACAATTCTTTTTTTATGAACAAGGGAGTACAAGACCTTTGAGCATGTTGAGGAAGGAAGGAATAATTAATATTTCATAATTATTTAATTCTAAGGTGGAAATGGTTTTATTAACATTAAATAATTCTTGAAATTTATTGAATAGGATATTTTTTTGATAATACCAATGATTGATGGAAACCTAGAAAAAATAAAGATAAAATGTAGTTTTCTAAAAGATGACAATATTTTATTGGTTGCTTTTCTTTTTTACCTGTAGTTGTGAAACTGATTGTATAGTTTTGTGTGTTTTTTGTTTTAGTTTTGACATAGTTTAGATTAGTTTAAAATTATTTTATTTACACCAGGAAATTAACTGGCTTTGCAGAGATGAATTTCAAAAGCATCAAGTCACTGGTAACAGAGCTGAAACATATCAGCACATGTTGAGGACTTTTGCTGGCTTGTGCTTGAAACCATGGGAACATCAGCCTATAAAAGCTGGAATTATGAAAAACTGTAAAGGAGTGAGGTTTACTCCCTAAGTTGAGACAAAAGCAGAGAAATCATTTGTTTCAGACTGTCCTTCAAAGTGTGAATTACTGTATTGTGATTTCAAAAATGTGCTTTGTGTAGGCTGAGCTACAATAATATCTGTAGGTGAGCTGGGCAGTCCTCAGCCAGAGTTGTTTTCAAGTCTGCTTGAAGCTCGGTCACCACTGGCACATTCTAGCCTCATGTTTGTTATTGGGTCCCTGGCATGGATAAGTTTCAAAACTTTCAATGAAAATTGATTCACAATTGATGTCGATTGACTACAACCAACCAACACAATTTTAATATTAATAAAATTTGGGTGTCACAATTGACATCAATGTTATGAAAATGATACACAAACAACCACTACCCTTTTCATAGCGTTAATGAGGTGTTGAAAGTTGTAACAATTACTGAGGATAGCTCTTAAAATGTTATTGTAATTTGTTACTAGGTAGGCTCATGAAGAGAAGCAATATCATTTTCATGAAACAAATTCTTTCTTCTTTATTCCCTGTTGTTTGTTAAGACACAAGTGATTGATTTTTAAACAAAGAGAAACACAGGAGAATTCTTTGTACATTGACTTGAAAAAGACATTGCTCCATTCAAATTCCAGCTCATTTAAAATATAGAAGCTCTATTAGACATTGTGGTAAAACACTTTTTAAAACTAATTGCAGCTTAAATGTGTCTTTAAGAGATAAAGAAGTGAAAATCAAATACAGCAGAGGTGCTTGCTGGTAAAGTATTGCATATATAAGGTATAAAAACAGCTCTGACTGTAACCAATCATCACTCAGTCCTTTCAAGACACAACAAAAGTAAAAATCTTACAGGGAGCACTTAAGATTTCTTTTATTTTCTTAGTTTATTGTGCTTTAAGCAAACAGCCAACTTTTCACACTTCTGGTCACAAGCTAAAACACTGGGTCCAGATGGTAACCTTCCTGGTTAAAGGAAGGAATGAAGAGAAAAACCCTTGTTTTTTTAAAACTGTTTTGTTTTGTCAATGACCGTGAATATATGAAAATCATATACAAGAACTGCAGTTTAAGAAATGAATATGAA